CTCCTCCTGTCCAAACCGTACGCAATGGCAGCAGCCTTCGGCTCATTGATGAGACGTAGCACATTTGAACCAGCTATTTTTCCTGCGTCAATTGTGGCCTGTCGTTGATTGACGTTAAAGTACGCAGGCACAGCGATCACCACATCTGTGATATCCTCGCCCAAATACGCCTCTGCCGTCTCCTTCATCTTCGACAGCACCATCGATGAGATCTCCTCCGCAACGAATTGCTTTGTTTCACCACAGTGCTGTACTTCAATCTTCGGTGTCACACCAGAATTTACAACTTTGAAGGGCCAGTGCTTCATGTCACTCTGCACTGCCTCATCGTTGAATCTACGTCCGATCAGACGCTTTACATCGAACACAGTATTGGTGGGGTTTACAGCAGCCTGGATCTTTGCGGCTTCACCGATGAGGCGTTCCTTATCTGTGAAGGCAACACAACTCGGCATTGTGCGGTTACCCTGATCGGTGGCTATGATTTCTACCCTGCCGCATTGGAAAACACCGATGCAGGAGAAGGTTGTCCCCAAGTCAATGCCGATGGCAGGACCTTTTGACATGGCTTCGTGTGGTGCACAAATGCCAACGCGTTGTGTCAAATAATGATGACCACCACGACTGCTGCAACCTTTTATATCAACTGCACCTACTCCTGCAGAACCTATCCGCTGATAGAAATCTTTTATCCAACCAGGAGCCGCCACTGTTTAATGCTCCACCTCATTAACTGGTGACAGCGCACTTGAAAGCAATGACACACAGTGCAGGCTCAGGCTTGAACACGCCTGTAGGTGATCACTGACGTGAGCAGTGGTGTCGTAACAACGTTGAGGTGTGCTGCCTGAAATGCAGCAGTGTAGAAGTGCCGCCTGTGTTATCGAGGTCGCCTGTGTCACGCTCGAATCGAGTGGAGGCACCCATGGGCTGATGAAAGGTAGGAGTGGGTACCAGATCAGTCGCATCTTGATTGGCTGAACAGAGCCACGCAATCGGAGTGCTTGCGTCAGCAGTCATCGCATTCAAATGCTAATGCGTTTGGTGAAGGGGATAAAGAAGAGCAAAGGGAATTCACGGTGTAAAATTGAAAAGTCATCGCAACATTTTTGTTTAAGTAAAGGTAACGACAAAGTAGTGAAGCAAAGGCAAAATTGGACATAAGTTGGTAGGCACTTTGGTCAAGGAAAGCAGCAGTATACCTGGCAATGTTAGAAAGCAACAATAAATAAAGTTGATAACGCGACTGTAAGGAATCATGATTGGTTTCTCCTTTGCTGTACTGCCTTTTGATAGGCAGAGGCGTAGATGCTTTGTTCTAAAGTAATCTTTCGCTTCCAAATCAAACCACTCCCCTTCATTTGGGTCTGCAGCGAAAGGGACCTGAGTTCCAATGAATCACTACTAAAGGAGTCAAAAGACAAAATCATAAGGCCATAATTTTTTTACATCGTAGAGCTGGGAGCTATATGCAAGCAAGGGAGAGAGGACTACTTTGGGGAACAGAAAACGCCCACTCTAGAGGTGTTCAAACTGAGCTCAGCTGCTATGATATTATGGTTAGTGGTCTTTAAGTGAGCGCAAAAAGGGGCCGATCTTACTGAACATCGATGCAGCAGCGTCTTCTTACGTCACAAACCTCCTCATCAAATACACTCAGTGAAAGTATGAGATTTACATCTTTTCATTCGTCCATATATATCCGCCCCAGTAATTATGGTATTCTAGCTAAGCATATAACTTCTACTGAAAATATCGTGCAGTGCGGCCTACTTACTCTATCACAAAGCGGGGAATTCGTAATAAAAGAGACCGTTAAAAAATTAACTTCTGATGTATTTTGCACATTTATAATACCTTTAGTCAGGTCAAGGTCGCGTAACATGGTAATCCACATCCACGTTTCTCGATGTGAATACAAACTACCTCAACATTGTTGACTGCAATAATAGAATGAAACTACACTCACTGCGTTAAAGTGTCAGACCGGCAGCCAATGAGGAAGCAGACAGCAGGCTCAACACCTTCCGAGTGAGTCAGGTATTCCTTGTAGCGCCGAAGATGAAACTACACTTCTACCATCGCTCTACTAAACAGGAAATGACAAACGAAGAATTACATGCAGTGACTGGTTTTGGGAATAGGCAAAGTAATATAAGTGAAATATCCGTTAACAGGGCTTTTTTCTTTCCTCCCCCACCACAACTGCAGTTTCCCACTCCTACGCCTCAATTCCACCACTCAAGGACCTAGCCCTCTCCTACTTGTCTCAGTCAATTCTTACTTTCTATCATTACAGACCCCAATTCTCCAATCTACTTCAGCTCCTCCATCCATTTTATCTTTCCCATCTCTTAAGAACTCAATTCTCTACATATCTACCTTAGTTACACCCAGTTTTCCAGTTCTTGTCACTCCTGGACATGGTTCTTCAACTGTCCCGAAAACCTTCCCTCCAAGTATCTTGCATAGATTATGTCTAAATGCATATGCTCATCTAAAATTAGCAATGGTTTTGAACCTCATGACTGCCTTTTGCTCCTGCCTCCTAATAGCTTGTTAATGCGTAGTCTACGCAATTAATAGGCTAACAGGGGCCAAGAATGTGGTGGGATGGGGAGAGATGCGGTGGTTTCGTGTACACTGCCCTGCTTTGCTCCATTATACTGTGCTCTGTTTAGCTGTTTTGAGATGTGGAGAAAGACGACGTGATATGCTGTGACGTTACGTGGCGGAATGTATTGCGAGGGGAGCCTCGCGCGTCTCCTACTTTCCCTCCATGTGTGACCACGCAAGCAGTCGTAAGATACGGCACCTCCTGCATCCTTCTTTCCTATCATGGCTATCACGAATATGGCGGCAATCCTTGAGTCAATATAGCATGACTCAAGGTCATGGTCATGGTCATTGGTCATATATCCGGATCTGCCGCAGAAATTAGACCACATGGGGCAAATATTGCACACGATTTTAACTCAGTAAGCCTCGCGCACCTCTTTTGGCTATTTGCAATCAAAATTTACGCAACTAATTATCAGCAAATAGACCTTAGTCCCCGCAAAACTTTATAAACAATGTTCATTACTAGCAAAAAACTTTTGAAACAATCTACAACGCAAACCATATTTTCTGTTTTTCCATTTTTTTCGTCTGACATATTGCGTACTTAAGCTAAATGAGTGGAAAGGGTTTTTAGAGTAAGCATCAGAAAACAAAAACCGGTCTAATATGCACTTAACAAGATCCGTAAAGTCAATCGTGGCATCGCCAATCATTTTGCGCTCCTGGTTAATTACCCATTCAAGGGCATCGCTGGTCGTGAGTATAAATGAAATCGTTATTGGATCTGTGACAATCGAGTTTGCATGACCTAGTAACAAAAATTAGCTGTTTGTAAAACGAGCAAAAACATTTCTTGAAATAAGCCTGGTTTTTAAAATTAGGTCTCAAACTTTTATTATTTGATTTTGTTTTAATTGTCTTGTTTTTACCCGATTTTCTCAAGCTTGTGCATTGTGTGCTTTATGTGGTGGTTAGTAGCATTGCTGTCTCTAGGCTCCATTTTTAGTACATTTACATATAGTGTGGTAGAATCAAATGCATTATTTGGCATACAATGAATAAACTTGTATAGACCTGCCTTTAAAACGGGCTCTAGGTTTTGACCAGTCATACATTCCTCGGAACATCGCTTTGCATGAGTCGTTTATCACTTTCAGCCTTGCGTCTATGCCTCTCCATCGATCTTCGGGACGAAGCATGATTTGACCGCCTTTAATGGAAGCCTTTCAAAGCGCCTATTTTGGCTAGTCACGCAGAAAATGCTTTTGCCGCGGATTCGGACGGTGAAGAGGATGTGACGGTTATTGGAACATGCAGTTTTATGCAGGAGTTGATTTCGAAAATGCACTCGAGGAAGACGCTTCTTTGTTTTAACACGCCAAGGTATGTGATGAAATAATCTGAGAAAAAGACAAGGATACTTCTCCTACCTTCATGCGAATATTGTCACCTCTTCTCGGCTTTACTAGTACACAATAACGTGCGAAATACTGTAGGCGGCTTAGATTTGGAGGTGAGATAGAAATGAATGAGATCTGGACTGTTTTTCACTGTTTTTGAAGACGAAATACTTCGTAAGGGGTGAAGTCGCCAACTATCATCTCATTGGGAAAGGACTGTCGGCTGTAGTGGTGGTTATTTTACGAAGTGCAATATGTTAGGCATCTTTTTGTGTGACACTTTAATTTTCTCTCTCCTTGGCTCATTCATCGTTTTTACTAAAGGCGGGTTAAAATTTTTCTTTGTGGTATAAAAGCGCAATTCGAAGGCTAACTTCATCCACAATTGATGCAATCCTTTAAAACCACCACGCCTCAACTCTAAATAATTCGCTTCGACTATGGAAAGACCGGGAAAAGTCATCTTTTCGTATCAGTTGGCTTAAATTTTATCACTCCGATCTTATTTCCCTCTTGTTTTGACTTCAGAGGCTGCAAAAGTGAGAGGGTTACCCTCTACAGTACAGAGCGTGTTTCTCTTTACCGCGACGCGGAAGCGACGATAGGGTTTGTTCACTTAACCTTTCTTATCTCTCCTCCAGCTGCATTACCTGTCTAAATGTCTGTTTCTCTGTCTACTAGCTACGACACAGTGAACACAGACGTCGTCCAGACGAGGATCACTCCTCTCCCTCTTGGCATTGCCACCATCATTGAAGGTATCGCTTCCACAATGTGGAATCATGCTTTATTTTGCTTATATTTGTCCTGGTTTTCTATTGAACAAAATGGATCTGTGAAAAATAGTCCAAATTAATGCTACTTTTAGTAGTATTCCGCTTAATAAAACCGTATTTCCCGGCATGTTCGATACCTTAAGGCATGTGTGTGTGTGTGTGAGTTTAAGTTTACCGCGGATGGAACCAAAGTTTTGCGAATACCTCTGCATCCAGTGCGGAATGTAATTTTGCTGAAGAAAATCTGTTGTTAAAACGGAGGAATTATCGCCAACCACTATTGAGTTGTATTTGTCACTCCCCATGTAATGCATTCCATTCAAGCGAAAATTGTTAAACTTTCTTGGTGTGTATTGACTGCGCAACCAGATTTTGTTGGTAGAACATTTTAATCAATCTGCCCTTCTGTTTTCAGTCGCTTACGAGGTAACGGTGGTGATTTTTGTCGTCGTGACGATCGTAGATGTGGAGAGGATCGAGAGAAGGGGGAGGCGAGCAAAGTTTGGTTGAGACGCCGTCATCAAAGAGGGAGGAAGCAGCTTCCAAATCGGGTGCTTCCCCTCCGGCAACGACACTACTACCCATAGGTTTTGTACGGAACCGCACGAAACCACCGAGGAGGAGGTGGAGACCGTGCCCCTTAACGGTGAGGTCTAGTGGCGTGTCCTCTCTTCCCATTAGCTTGTATGTTTGTGTATATTCGCATTTAAGAATTCCTCTACCTGAGTCTGTCTTCCAGTAGCTGGTGGGGAAAACTGAGCTAAAATGGAACTGATATCTGGGTCATGGGAAGCTTGACAGCCTCCGGTCTTCTTTCCTTCCTTACTCGAGTGGCAGTCAGTGCAAAGTGAACATCTGAAGAATCGGCCTCTGCAGGTTTATCGTCTCTCTTGACTTCAAGGTATGTGATCGCATTGTTCTGGAATTTTTTATGTTCAGTTTTGGTGAAAAGCCTACCCACTATCTTCAGTAGAAGCTAGTCAAGTGATAATTCGGCAAAGTTACACTTTTTCTATGATTCAGGAGTGGTTCATAAGGCACTCCAGAACCCCACCCGAGGAAGCTTGACACACAAGCCCAAACTTTTATCGTAGGTATCGAAAGGGGGCAAGTGATTTAAACGCATTAGACTGTGAGGTAGACCCCAATCACATGTTAAGCAAAAAACCGGTCATGAAATGAATGCATTATGAAGGTAACTCACAGGGTTGCTCATTTTGATGACATTTGCGAAATGATCTGGTTAGCTGTAAAACAATCCTAATTTTGCGATAATTGGTTGGGAGAGCTTTAAGATTTACTACTGATCTGGCCTCGCCGCAATCCATGCGAAAATGGCGTGGGCGTCATTCCAGCCTGCCTAGAGCTAGCAGGAATGATCTGAAGTAGCTTTAAGGAGAGAAGATGAGGGAAGGAAAGGCTCACCTAATGTGGAAAGATAAGGCGGTGGACCTCAATATGAGGGTTTTCAATTTGGTTGAGTCGTGAGATCGTAGGCAACTTCCGCGGATCTTCTCGACCATAATGGTTGGGTGAAAATCGTTTCTGAACTGGACGGTAATCCATGCAGCGATCCTTGGTTAAATACCGCGTCAAATAATCCCTATGTCATGTTATGCATGGTACTATCGAATTTGAGATAGTAGTCTTTTTATTACAACAATTTCGGCGTATTTTACATTTGTGGCCTGTCTTTTAATTGGCAACTTTGCAATTATGCCTGTAAGCACGCAGTTCAGCGGAGAAAGTTTGTCTCTCCCAAAATGTGGTCGCTATTGGAAAGATGTATCCAGATTTGGTAAAACCGAGGGCGGACAGTTCATGCATCCACGACTTGAAAGGCCATTTTGAGTATGAAGCTGTGCACTGCAGACGACTTTTCTGGTGGCAATTAGTGTTGTCAATTCCACAAAGACACTTAATGGGCTACTTCCCTTCTCAAGATATAGGTAGATGTAAGAAGGACAAGAATCAGTGATTTTGCTTCAGACAGGGGAGAAAGTAAAATCTAGGACAGATTAGTTGCGTATCAGGTGAAATGCTTATCACCACTGCAAATACCTTAGAACAAAGCTAAGTCCCCTTGTTGGTTAGAGCTGATTCAAATTAAGGAAGCAGGATCAGGAGTTATGCATTAACAGAAATAATATAGATGAAATTTTAAAGGGAAGTGCAGCTAGTGCTATCTGAATCACTTATAAATTGAAGAATGCGGCTAGAGAAGAGACATCTCTAGGTAACTTTTAATAAAGCATTGATGAGAGCTGGGAACGTTTGCCTGTCCCCACCGCCAGCGCCATAGATGGCTCGAAAGACAATTAGCTAGTGACGGGACCTACGTGCCCATAAACTGGGCAGCATTATTGGAACCTGCACATGAAGCATACATGAGGGAAAGCATAATACATTGACGCGATGAATGCATTTTGTACAAAGAGCAGAAATGGCGAAATCGAAGATTGCAAAAAGCTCTACTATTTTAAAATGAGTCAGTGTAACTTTTGTTAATTCCACAGAATTCGGTGGCACAGTCACCAACTGACTAATGCCGTCTTCAGCAAGTATATAACGAAGTCTGCAGTCCACCAGGGGTAATTCCTTGCCGTATGCAGCCTCAAAAAGCAAGGAATTACGCCTATCCCCCATGAAGTCATTCGAGGCCTTGCGAAGTGTCAGTTAAGAGGGAAGATAAGGCGCCCCTTATAATGGAGTTTGGGGCAGGTTTTAAAAAAGTCTCAAAGTGACATTTAGAGGTTATTTGCTTTTCTAATCCTATGGCGACCTGATCTCGCTCACCTTATACTCTCGGCTCCATCACTGTCACCTGGTCAAACTGGTCCAGACACAATTTTGGCCATCAGAAGAGCCAGACTCCACACATCCGCATTTGTTGTAATTTCTATCCCATTGGCTATTTTTGGGGCCATGAAGTCGGCCACTACCTCTGAGTATCACGAAAGTGGGTTGTCCGTGAATTCGGGAACTCCAGAAAAGAGTAAGTAGAAAGGGTGATTGGTGGCGGTGCAGCTCAAGTCGCACAAGATTGAGGTGCTCGCGAAGCGCACACCTAACAGCTGCTGAGTTTTGCAGGAAAAATCGCTTCATTGCATATGCCGTGGTCATATCACTTCCTTCTGTGGGAAGTGTTTTGCAAACCACGAGATAACATTCACGACTAATGAACTCGACTATGTCAAGCGGTGGTGACTGCATCGCTCTAACTTCAGCTTGGCAGAATGATGAAGTGAAAAATGAAGCTCGAGTGAGCTTACCTGCCCTCACGGTGCTTGTCCTTGCGTAAGCCAATCAGCTGCAAGCGTGCTTCCTGTTGGCTCGTTGGATGTAGTGATCGTCCAAGGAGGCACGCGTGCGCGAAGTCGATGGTCTGCACGTTTGTGGCCTTCCATTCCATCGCAATGCATCGACCCCAAACGAAGGAAGAAGATTAGCTGTTTTCCTGTGTGATTACAAACAAAAGCGATGCCGCCAGTGAGAGTTGCAGAGATATCACTGGCTGTATAGCATGAAGCAATCCATGTAATGGGAGTAATTCATGCATATCCCTTACTGATGCCACTATTTTCCTGACAGACGGATTAAAAATTTGCTCAAATACATTGTTATGCTTCCATGTCCTTTACACAATTCTCTTCTCGTGCTTACATTGAGCACAGGATATCGCGCTGTGTGCAAGGCACCACTCTGC